TTAATATGTACAAGTTGAGGTAGTCTACTTACGAGCTGGGACAGTACCAAAAGATAAGAAAAATCCAACTTACAGAATCACAGAATATTCAAGGTTGGAAGGGACCTCTAGAGATCATCTAGTCCAACCTTCCCACTGAAGCAGGCACGCCTACAGCACGGGGCACAGGGCGGCACCCAGGCGGGTTTGGAAGACCTCCAGAGAAGGAGACTCTACAACCTCCCTGGGCAGCCTGTTCCACTGCTCTGTCACCCTCACAGGAAAGAAAGTTTTTTGAAATTAGTTTTGACCATTTGTAGCTTTTGAGTAAAGAAGATTAAAGAGCCATGTACAAATACACACTACTTCTATAATTTTTTCCACTCCTTGTTCAGAGTTCTCTTTTCTTTTTTTTAATTTTTATACATATATATATACATACATATATATAAAGATATATATATATATCTTCATGGAGGTTTTAAGTCTGAGGACAGCTGCTTATTTACTAGTCACACAAATAAACAACTCCAAATAGACTTGCCATAGAAACCGTGCTGTCTGACAGCAATCTTTTCGGTATCAAATGAAAGTCAGTTAAGAAACAGTTATTGCTTTTCTATTTGCTGTTGGTGAGATTGCTATTCATTTTAAGAGGATATGCTACAGGCATGCATGCAGGATGCCACTGATTTACACTATGTTTGAAATGAAAGTAAAAATGAAGTGAATGCATCTACGGTAAAAACACCTGCTCAGAGCGGCACTCTCCTCCAGAGCTGTGGGTAAATGAATGCAGAGGTTCAGTGAAAGAAAGTCAAAACCTCCAAGATGAGAACAGAAGCAGAAATAGGCCAGGAGGAAGATTCCACACTTTTCAGTAAGAGGACCTGAAGGCCAATGGGATCTTGGGGTGCATTAAGATGAGTATCTCAAGCATGCTGAGAGGTGATCGTCCCCCTCTACACAGCCCTGGTGAGGCCACATCTGGAGACTGTGTGTCAGCTGGAAGCTGAATCATGTGGATGATGAACAGAAACCAAATGTTCTCTCAAAAATCCATCTTTACTCCCCAAAATGACAATATTAGAAACATTAGCAGCAATCATGAGTATTATGTCTATTTAACAGTGAGGCCAGCGAGGAGGTACCAATGGATAATGTATTCATAAAATCATAGAATCCTTAAGGTTGGAAGGGATCTCTGGAGATCATCTAGTCCAACCCCCTGCTCCAGCAGGGTCACCCAGAGCACGGGGCACAGGGCGGCATCCAAGCGGGTTGGGAAGATCTCTAGAGAAGGAGACTCCACAGCCTCCCTGGGCAGCCTGTGCCAGGGCTCTGTCAAACTTCCTCCAGTGCAGGAGTTACGAATCTATCAGAAACACTGTGGCCTGCAGGATTCCTCGCCCCCAGGCACTGAGCGCGCTCCTAACTCACGCCGCCCAGTCAGACAACACCTCTGCTTGCACAGGTCACTCCCAGCTCTCCAACTCTCTCCGCTGCCATGTCCACTTCACTGAAGGATGTATATGAGCATGTTTAAGCAGAAACTGAAAATATTGAGAAAGTCTCTTATTTTCTTAGTTCATATTCTTACCTAATAAATTATAGTCTTCCAGCACTTTTCAATCATTCTTTCTCCTCAACTGCATCCTACATATCCACATAGTTCTGACAATGAGGGTTTCACAATTAGCCAGTATTTCAAATAATAGGCAAAACAAACAAAGAAAAAATCCTCCAGAACTCAGATGCGTAAAATCAGGCTTCTATATCTACAGCACATTTCCTAAACAGCAGTAGTGCAGCTCTTCGACAGGCTGATGATGAGACTCTTCCACTGCTCATCTCCTCTCTAAATCACACCATTTAAATATGAATCTCAGGATTCAATTTTCTTCTTTAGGTATGTATTGATCGCTTTTTCACAGCTTACTGTGCATCGTATAGAACTGTTAAGTCCACATGAAAAAATATTATTAACTGAACCGGATCAACTTGCAAGCGTAGAACATGAAAAGGTACACAGTGGTGCTACACATAATTCCTACGCTGGCTCCCTGCCTATAATGTATCACATAACCAAAATTGGAAACATCCCTATGGTAAAGGTGTTTTCCTCTCATTTACTGCTACACGGCCACCTCCACAGTTTCCTAGGCTGCACAGGTGTATGAGTATGTCTAGTCCAAAACTTAACCCAACGCAGAAACACTAAATAATTCAGTTGCATTCAGATGACAAGTTACTCCAGCACAGAATACATTTACTCAAAAATCACACAGCCTCTCTCACACTAAACAGCTACGGTGAAAACAAACAAACAAAAACAGAACAACAAAAAACCTAGGTGGTTAACAGCGAGCGCCGCTATCCACCAGAGATTAAACTTTCCAGAAGCACATTCAAGTGAAGATGCAGAGCCAGCCAAAAAGGATTAAAAAAAAAAAAAAGAAAAAGAAAAAGCAATGCTCATTTAAGGAGATTCCTGTTAACACTCATTTGTGCAATACAGCACAAACCACGATGGAATTTTGTTCCATCACTAAAATCCATTCAAGTTTCTAAGCAATTCAAAAGCATACCATGGGAAATGTTACAGCAAAAATAAAAAGGCATAGAGTAACTGAATTTAATTATAAAGAAATTCCAGTGCTGGCTGATGTAAACATCAAGACAGATGGATTCAGCCTGTGAGCATTTGAGAATGCTCTTGAAGCTGCCTGTGCCCTGCCCCATGGAAAACCATGCTGAACTGGGACACTCCATCATGCCCATGGCAGTCTAAGACACAGGCTTAAAGGGCTGTTATAAGCAGGAGGAAGACTAATTTTTTTTTTCTTTTTTTCCCTTATAGAGGTTATTGTTTAACTTAACATTTTGCTTCCATAATGAAGACCTTAATGACCATTTGCTGGACATATATCGCAATCATAAGATTGGCTTCCACTTATACATATCTCTGGTAGAATACATGAGTTCCTTCATCCTTGGTATCAAGAAAACCCAATTAGAAAGCAGAGGAAACTTAGGCAAGGCAACAGCAGTGAAGCCCTAAAAAACAGAGTGTTGAGTCACTTAGCAAACCTGGCAACCTCTGGCTGCCTTCAGTCCTTACCTCGCTCAGCAGGTTCCCTCCCCTCCTGCTCCTTCAAAACAGAGCATCTCACTAACAGAGAGCAGTTAACCATCAGATTCACCTCTGTCTTGATAAGCAGACTTGGAAGACAGAGAGCATTAATATATTAACAGCACATCCTGTAGATAGGCAAAAATGTAGATGACTATGATTTGCTGATCACATTTAATAAGATCATTTATACTTTTCCACTAAGAATACAGTGCCAACACAGAACAGATTTTCTTTCACAGTAAGTTTTGATTAAATAATCACTCATCTATCTCAAAGAAATTAAAAGATTTCGACTACCATGAAATCTATAAAAGCCAAAATATGCTGCTAAGTGTCTAATACAGTGTAAAAGATAGCTTATAAATGTCAACATATGAAATTACTTAAGGTGTGTAAATACACTTATATAGTGTGGACATTGCCCCTATCTCCAACCATTCCCACCACAAAGTACAAACAACAATTCTCACTGCAAGTTACCTTCCAAAGCTCCATTACACTCACTTGGATGCGAAACAGCAGCATGAAACCCCTGCATCAAATTGCATTTTGAGGATAATTCATAATAGAAATACACAGAATCAGCAATATTATCGTGTCTTTTTATGTTAAAAAAGTTGGGGTAGCAACAGGAAGGCAGGAGAGTATATGCAGGGCATGCATTCTGCATTGACACAGCTTTGCTGACTGTATGCCTGAAAAGAGACACGAAGGCTCCACCGTGTTCACCTCTTCTGGCCTCTACATGCAGCTCAGAGGACTATCCCCCTGCTAAGTCCCGTTAGAAACGGAGGCTCTGCTTCAGAAAAATCTCTCAGTTTAAAGTTTCATCATGCTGATACGGTAACAGTACTTTCACTGTTAAAACACACTCTGTATAGCCTCTGCACGTCCCATCTCAATTTTCTACGCTGGGTCTCCTTAAACCTTTCCTAGCTTCCACTATCACTGTCTTGACATTTCAAGACATCAGTCCAATCACAATTCTTTTACATCTACTCCGGACAACACATTCTCTCACAGACTATACAGTGAGGGACCATTAAGCATGGCGAGGACTGTGAGAAATGTCCCGCGTGGCACACGGAGCAGCAACACTCGCACTCCCCACACCTCACCCTCCTGCTCGCTGCCCCTCTGGCTCTCCAGCTCCACACAACGGGCTCATCCCCGGCCGGCCGCCCGACAGATCCCAAAGCTTTTCCAAAGCGGCCAGCCGGGGGGAGCAGGATCCTCCACTCCATTCCCAGTACACAGCTCCACACCGGCTACGCTGAAAGGCGTACAGGCTGGCCGTGCTTTGCAACCATCAAGTACGGCGGGCTATGGCCACTTGTAAGTTATTCTCCCTCTCCATTACTTACTCCTCCCTGTCTATGAAATTATGTAATATTTAGATTATTTATTATTATGCATAAAACAAACATTTTGTTCACGTAAAAAAAAAAAAAAGAAAGAAAGAAAGAAAGAAAAACTTAGCAAATACCTTGGGTAGCCCAGGGCTCGGGCCGTCTCCACCTGAGTGCCACCCACCTGCCCAGCACCAAAGACAACAAACTGCCCCTTCCTTATCGACCCCTCCTTGCAGAGCGCCTGAGAGCACCGTCCACCACCATCAATTCTCATGGCAATGTAGGCTAAAGAATATGAATAAATAAAAGCATGCAGACATTCCCCATCAAGTTACCGTTTTCCTGGCGGGGGGGAGCCAAAGGAAGTCAGTCCCCCTCTCCGAGGGCACTCGGAAGGTGCCCTCGGGCACAGGGGACCTGGCGGGGGCTCTTCCCACCAGGGCTCCCTCTGCCCAGGGCTGCTGCCGCAGGCTCCGTCTTCCTCCCTGCTGGCAGAGACCGGCTGTATTTGCTATTGAGAGAGAGGGACTTACCAGGAACCTCAGGAAGAAAAAAAGAAAAAGAGCTGTGTTCGTTCTGATAGATACAGGTACTGCCCGCACGGCCACGGCCGCCGCTGCCGCTGCCCTGAGGGGCTGCCCATGTCACTGTGGGAGGCGGCAGGCGCGGCGCTCCCGCAGCCCTCCCGCCCGCCGCACACGCGCGGCAGCTCGCACGGGGCTGCGGGTGCAGGTGCGGGCTGGCGGCGGCAGCCTCGCCCCTTCCCGCCCCCGCCTGAACTGCTCTTGTCTCGCCGACCAGAACGAGCCCGGCAAGGGCTGCAGCCGGGCGAGGCGCGGCCATCCCTGCGCCCCGGCAGGGGTCCCGGGGCTGCCGCCGCGGGTCCCCCCGCGCCTCCCCGGCTGTTGCCGCTCCTGCTGAGCCAGCGCCATGCGGCGATGCCCGCTGCGCCGCCCGCAGCGCCCCTCGCTGGCGGGAAACGCCGTGGCGGGGAGCGGGGGGGGGACGCCGCGGAGGGCCGAGCCTGGCTCGCCCTGCCCGTCCCGTCGTTGAGGGGAGCGGGCGCCATCCCCAACGCGCGGCGGAAAGGGGCAGCCCCTCTGCCCCTCGCGAAATGGCCGCTCCCGCAGCGCCCCCGCGCGGCGGGCAGGCGCTGCCCCTCGCGAAATGGCCGCCCCCGGGTGGCGAGCAGGGACTGCCCCTCGCGAAATGGCTGCCCTCGTGTGGCGGGCAGGAGCTGCCCCTCGCGAAATGGCTGCCCTCGTGTGGCGGGCAGGAGCTGCCCCTCGCGAAATGGCTGCCCTCGTGTGGCGGGCAGGAGTTGCCCCCCGCAAAATGTCTTTTCCCGCCCCGCTGTGCGGTAAGAGCCTTGTCAGGTCACCAGGCTACTTGCCACGTAGTGTGTCATGTTTTCCCAACGCATTTTCCATGGGGAATCTCCATCAGTATCCAGCTTGCGCTGGATGAGGGGAGAGTCGAGAGGATAGAGTGGGATGTAGTGAAAGCGTCATATCCAACTGTAGGGAAGACAGGTGGAAGAAAGACAGTGAAAGGTTTTTAACTGCTGCTTTTAGTGGTTCACGTGAGATTTACGAAACAGCTGAAAGTATTGGAAAATATTACAAAATTCAAAAGTAACTGACTAAAACCATCCTGATTCATCCTAAATGAGTCAAACAAATCATCATTCCCCCCTCCCTGGCATCCTCCGGCACCTGAAGAGCTCACATAACAAACATTTAAAAAGATAAGGAAATTAGTTTAGCTCCAACGTTCATTGCCTGACATTTTAAAGTATGGCTTTGAAATAGCTGCAGATGTAGGGCGCATGAAAATACTTAACACCAAGTATAACACTGTGTGTAATACCACAGCTGTAACTGACTTGAAAACTGATTTAAAAGAAAAAAAAATCAAAATAAAAATAACACTAATGGATACAGCCAAAACCTCCTGTGCTTTCAGATGAAAAGGCATAAAAAAAGGTCACCTTGTGCACAAAGAGATCTAATGTTACTTGGGTCACCTTCACATTCCTATTGTTACATTTATTTTTAAGAAACTACAGTTTATTCCAATGATGGGACACAAACATGCTGTTGGAAAGTGTAATCTCAAGAGATGCAGTGTTTACCTGATTACTGTATAAATAAAACTAGCTTAAAAACCAACTTGAATTTGCTGAATGCTGTACTCAGGACAGCACTGAAAATCTACTGGAAGGATGTGCTCTAAATTCAATTCTATGCTGCATCAAAAAAAAACCCCACAAATATATTCTACAATGGCATAACTTATCTTGAAATATTAAAACACACTGTTCAGAGTTGTGATTTTTACAGCTTCATTTCATCAATCTCGATTAGGAGGTTAGTGAAAAGATATATTAACAATTTACACAGCAGTCTGATAGCTCAGATACAGCATTACCAACCAGAATACCCCAATACAAGAATTTCTGAGAAATAGCACAAACTTTCTGTTGGTACAGAAAGCAGCTGCTCATAGAGGCTGGACAACTATGTTATTTAGGCAGCAGCACGCCACGCAAATCCATATTTATTATTAAGTGCCCTCTGTGATCCATAACAGACCATATGAACCAGCCTCAGTATAAATAACAATGAACTCTGGCTTCCTTGGAAGAAAGGTAAAGTCTTCTCGCTATTATTTCACTGGTGGTTTGGATCTCCATTGCTAACACTTGTATCACTGTACAGAATTTCCACGCTCCAGTCCTTGGCTGCAGCCTTCTTCAAGCTAGAAAGCTTTATTGAGAATCATTCCTAGTATTCATGGCCCATTTCCAGAGTGCTATGGCAACACTCTTGCCCTTTGGGGCAATGGTTTCCAATAGATTTTTCTCTCTGGAAAAGCACCTGCTAACTCCACACACCAGGAATCAATACATAGCTCGATATTTCCTAATGTTCTGGTCCACACAGACACAGTGTCTTCCAAACTCAAGAAGTTGCACAAATTACAGAGTTCAGTTCAACAGCAGCAATGAAGAAAACCTGCTAGTTTTTGCTTTCCTTTCAGATAGCACTGCAGAGTGCTCTGGAAGCACTCTGTACTTCCCAGAACCCTGATCTATCAGTAATATATCAGAAAATAGGCAATTGCTGCAATTTGCTGAGTAGAATGCTCTGAGTAAGAAACCATGCAGCATGAAATTGAGATTTTCTCAGAAATACAAAAAGTTCTTAGCTAGAGCTAACTGTGGGATAACTGTTCACGTTTAACTCCTGAATAACACAAGAACTAGGGACAGAATCTGACGACAGTCTCCAAGGAAAGCTTTCTCAAGAAAACTGAAATATGCAAGTTCCTATCATCAGGCTGAGCACTATCTAGGCTATTTACAAGAAGTACAACCACATCCACAACAAGGAGAAAGGATTACGTTTTTACTGACTCAAGGTTTTTATTTTTATTCCTCCAGGTTTTGAGCTGTTCCATGGCAGAGGACTTCATTAAAAAAACAGACATTTCAGCAATGATCTCCGACTGCTGGAAGGCTATGGAAGCTACTTTTATTCACGTGTCCTATTCCTGCCTATTTTTTCAAAGGTTTGAGATGCATTCCATATTTTAATGGGCTTTGTTGGCATTTCTGGAAAAAGGATCCCTCCTTGAGTTTTACTGCAGCTTGTGGCACTTGCATGCTTCTTTCCACTGCCGGTGAAATTGTGTGTGTGTGTGTGTGTGTGTGTGTGTGTGTGTGGAGCGGGGGGTCAGGTTTTTTTTTTTTGGTAAAAAAGAAGCCTATTATAGTACACTAACAAAAATGGGGTAAAATAAAAATACAGAAATTGCTGCAGAAGCAGTAGTGTCACTATATTTCTGTAAACCATTCTTGAACTTATTCAACATCTCTTCTTGAAAGAAGAGATTTATTCAGTCAGTCTTATTAAGCAGTGGGCAATGAATTTATTAAAAGATACATATTTTAAACTTCATGAGAGACTATTCATAATGCTTGTTTGGACACTACATTATATAGAAAGTTGGAAGGAATTCTACACAGCCCCTTAACCTATGGTTTCTTCAATACACATCATAAATGCTAGTGACATCTCTGCCGCCATGGAACAACCCAGTAGCAACTCGTCACGTTTACCTACATCTGAGATTTTGTTTTGCACTAAGAAGTATTGAGCTGCAAGTCAGAGATTCTTATCTCTGAGTTTACTTATCCTGCTTTTTTTTTTTTTTTTTTTTTTGCACTTACATTACCTGAAAGGTGTGCTTATTATAAAGCCAAGAAGCTTGGAGAGAAAAATGAAAAGATTTTTTAAAGCATCAGTCCAGTTATTCGTTGGCTCTTTAGCCTACTTTTCCTCTCCATATTGAACAAATGATGTTAAAAGCAGAATGGACATGTAAAAAATTTAATACAAGAAGAATGAAGCCTTTTTTTTGTAAGACAGCAACAATTTAAAAAAGGTAATTATTTAGGGTTTTTGAAGTATTTTACTACATGAACAGGAAAATTATATGTCACGGGCTTAGAAATTAAAAAGGGAAAATTGATGGTAACAGCTGTGTCTGTGACAAGGCCATTTCTACTTCAGCCATTGAAAAGCTTGACAAAAAGGAGGTATTCAGAAAAAGCTTTTCAGGCTAGTTACAGTATTCCATGTCCTTTTTTTTTAAGGAAAAGCTGATAGCAGACTTAACAGATACCAAAAAATACCAGTAACCCACTTGTGCTTCTTCCTCTTACATTATAAAACCAGGAATCTGTTTACTTGTTCCTGCTTTTCTTTAAAACACGTGAAACAAGAAGAGAAGAGAATACGACTGGTATGTTTGAATTCCTGCCTAGGATGAACTCCAGCAAGCTAAGGCAATGGTCCTACCACCCCCCCCTTACTCTGTGTGTTTACTCATACAAAGATTTCAGTGTCAGCTCTGGCATTCTCTGTGCACACAAGAACCTTGCAAAATGAGGAGAAGCTGGAGGATGAAGTCCTGTGCAAAAAAACCCAAATGTTAAATTAATAATGCAGGTACCATGTGCTTCACAGTAAGATATTCAGAAGTATTCCTGGAGGCAACAGTGAAGGAATTGTTAATGTATGACACACCTGCTGAGCATAAACTGGTAGCACAACATCTAACTTTATCTGAAATGTACTGATATTTTTCTTGGAATTATTTACAGGTTATCTTCAAAAAGCTAGCTACAGTTCTATTGATTAGCAAATCCAACAGTAAATGATCTGATTTTTTCCTATGTTACTGCAAAGAGATTTAATTGCTTCCATAAAATACAGAAATATTTCAGTGCTTTCTGAAACTGTTAAATTTCTAATATATAAAAATTATAAGTTCATCAAGAAGGTAATTCAAATCACCTAAATGTTTTTGATAGCCTAGCTAATAGTCATAAGCAGAAACACTGTTCTAGTTCATTAATTATTTTCTCATATTTAAGATAAGCTCAATAGACTTGCTGCAGCTGTGGAAGAGTTACTCCCTTTCTTCTAGTAAAACCTCCTTAAAACTCTGCATCTGCAGAGAAATAGAGTTGCTATGGCTGAAAGCAGA